CTGTTGCTGTTGCTGTTGCTGTTGCTGTTGTTGTTGCTGTTGTTGTTGCTGTTGTTGTTGTTGTTGTTGTTGTTGTTGTTGTTGTTGTTGTTAAAGACAGGGGCAATGTGCACACCAAGTCAGACCTGAAATTACTGATGAAATCTGTATGGTCAACCATGACTACAAGCATCTTATGCTCAGCACTAGCTCTGATCATATGTTGCACGTCCTCATCATTGCTAATTCTCATCAAACCATCTGAGATTGGTTTATTTGGCTTGCACCAGTAAATGGTGTGCTCACTCACAGGATATCCCAACCAAAGCAAGTGTTGTTCAAGAAATGTATAGGAGAAAGTGCCAGAGTCAACATAGTCTAGCACATCAACAAAAGGGTTCCAGTACTCCAGGTTACTGATTAGGCCACATAATTTTCCACCATGCTCAAGTTCTAGTGTAAATAATGGACTATCCACCCTTTCCCATCTGCTGCATCACACACTGCATCCAAAACAAAGATGCATCAGTTGAGAAACAATATTCAGTTAACTGAAAATTCAATTGATAGAAAATAATTCAATTAACAAGATGCATCGGATTTAATAAACTACAACAACATCATAATGTTCAGTTAACTGAACCTTTCAGTTAACTACAGTAAGCTGAAAAAATTTAGTTAACTACAATAACTGACAAAATTCTAATAACTACAGTAACTGAAAATATTCAGTTAACTACAGTAACTGAACATATTTAGTGAACTAAATATAAGCATCACTAAAACTAAAAGTAGAAAGGTGTAACAAATTAGCATTACCAAAACTAAACTAAATGGTGTAACAAATTAGCCTAGTTTATACTCTCTACAGAACATATTCAACAGCAAAAAGGAGTTCAATTTAACCACACAAACAGATGCTTGAGTAGAGTACAAGCTAGAGCAGAACTAAAAGCCAACTACAAAGGCATTAACATCTAATTTGTCTGCCATAAACCCTAGCTCTCATGTCGAACCCAAACCTAAAATCATCGGACAAAACATGACCATACGCAAGAAATACCACTACACGGCCTTAGATCGAGCACAATTGGCCCCCGATTCGAGCTGCAGTGCACAGCGCAAACGGCGGCGCGACGAGCCGTAGAGCAAAGCAGAGGAGAGGAGAGGGAGGAGATCCGCAGAGCAAAGCAGAGGAGCTCACAGTAATCAGGTGGGAAGACACCGAACGGGCGAATGAGATGAGAAGACGCCGGCGTCTCCACGCCGCCGGCGAACGGCGGCGACGACGCCTCCGTCGCTGACTTCTCCATCGCCCTGCCAGCCCGTGAGCTCTGTCGCCTGACAGAGACCAAGTGAATCCTCTCGAACGGACGCGAACTCGATTCCGACAGATTTAATTCAGGTGAGGGGAAGTGCGGGTTACTTCTAGAAAACGATAGGGGGGTTTCTGCAATTGTCGTTCTGTCATTGGCCTGGGACTAAAAGATCACATGAAGGTGCAAGTTGTGGTATGGTGGGGTTGCGTTTTGCATGTTTGGGACTAAATCATCACATTTGTGCAAGTTAGGGTACCTGGGGTGCTTTTACCTCCCCAATTAATAAGCCCGCCTCTGAATGGTTGCCTCGGCTGGTTTTGTTTACTTCTTTATCTTTTTCTTCTTCTTCCTATAATATGCCTTTTCTGAGACAATCCTATAATATGCCTACATATATGTACAGAGATCTCTGCATCTCTGCATCCATCTTTGCTTGGGCGACTAGGGAGGCGGCTAGATCCGCTTATTCCACAGTCTCCTTGTGCGCCCTTCCCTTGTTGTTGTCGGTCGGCGCTGTCGGGCTTGCCTACGCGGCCGACATCGGTGATGGGGTTCCACTCCCATGGCTCTTTCAATAGCGATTGATGAGATGCAGATGACGGCTGATCCTTGGGTTCTTTCGCCTAAGATGGTGTCCTACCGGTTGCTCACTAGTAGAAAAACGACTTTTAGTACCAGTTCATAAGGACCTTTAGTACCGATTCCGGAACCGGTACTAAAGAGTGGCGACTAAAGGTCCCCCCCTTTAGTACCGGTTCAACACGAACCGGGACCAAAGGCCCACCACGTGGCACGAGGCGTGCCGTGGTCTGAGGGACCTTTAGTCCCGGTTGGTAAGGATTTTTTTATTTTTATTTTTGAAATAAAGCAAAAACAGCCCGCCTACTAGGCCGACACCGCCTGCATATGACTAGAAACCCAATCTCTAGTTGGGCCAGGATGCAGGCCCGTACGGCCCAGTAGGCCCCACAGGGCAGAAGACTTGCAATAGGCCCACAAAGGCCTGCTTAGAGATGAGCTCGACACGGTAGCCGCGGCGGGGCTTATAAACCGGTGCGAGCTCCACTCAACTAGCGAGGTGGGACTAAACATTGTGCACTGCGGGTGGCAGCGCACCACCTTTAATACCGGTTGGTGGCTCCAACCGGTACTAAAGACCCCCCCCCCCTTTAGTACCGGTTGGAGCCACCAACCCGTACTAAAGGCCACCACCTCTTTAATACCGGTTCGTGGCACGAACCGGTACTAAAGGTTCGCCACGAACCGGTACTAATGAGCGCCGTCCGCCTGGCCGTTGGAACCGGCACTAATGGTCACATTAGTGCCGGTTCAATTACAAACCGGGACTAATGAGTTTCACATTAGACCCTTTTTCTACTAGTGGCTGGCCCTTATTGATCTGGCCGTTGACGAGTTCTGGAATGCTCCGCCGGAGATTTTAATTGGGTGCTTGACGCGTGTAGATTGTTGGATCGGATGGGATTCGGTTGTGTGCGCCCCTATTTCAGCCCGAGTTGCTTCAGGAGGGTGTGACGCGAAGCTTCGACATCTGTTGACATTATGGGACACGTCGGTATTACGATTTCCATTGTGATGACAATGATGGAGAATGTCATGGTGGCTAAGGTTTGAGGCCTTGTAATGGTAGATCGACTCTTCATGGCGATGAGGACTTTGCTTGGTGATTCGTGACTCGTAGCAATGGCATCGGCAAGTGGGGGCAGCAACACAAGTGCACATAGTCTTAGCTTTCACGATGAAAATCCAAGGCCTGGCCTTAATTGGTTGTGCCTGACAATGACCTTGTTAAAGGCACTGTTTTGAGAGCGCAGATCTTCTCCAGGGTGAAAACCTAAGATCTAGGATCGGGCGATGACGGTGCTTGTGCACTGTTTCCTTCTTGGAGGCGTCGCTTTTGGAGAATTTGGACTTCGGGTGTTGTCTAGGTGGTGGTTCGTGCTGCAGCTACAAGGAATTGATCAGTGTAGCAGGATTTTTCCTTTTTTTTCCTTCTTCTTCTTCCTTTTGTTTTTGGCTGTGTGCATCCGTAATATCTTTACGACCTTGTTGTTGCAGAGGCAGGGTGTAATTGATATCTCCGCGACATTAATATATTCCTCTTATCGAAAAGATATATATGTACAGAGATATGGACACGAATGGGCCCCTGCTCAGGCTGGGCTCTAGGCGGCCGCACTCCTCGCCATGCCGCCCAGGTTTCACTTTAGCAAGTTTTCACGTGTGTGTGTGTAAGAAGAGGACGGACGCGAGCTGTCGTGTAGTAGTTTTTTTTAGGACAAAAAAGCTGCCGTGTAGTAGTACTACTAGCAGCAGCACGAAAGTGCTCCTGGCAGGTCACAGCAATGGAGATAGTAATTTACCAAAGACGATGCACAAGATCACACCATGCAGTGCCCAGCAGCGCACGACAGGTCCACCGTTGGATACCAGCGTTGGCTGGATGTCGTGTATGCAGTGTCGTCCACAGAGCAGTTTCGTTTACCAAACCAACTTTTGTTGATGCTGTTTAGCATTGCCCAAAAGCCTGCAACTAAGCCTGTATGTGCGCTAGACTAATACTCCGTATCAACCAAAACAAACAAATAAACAAACAAGGTCGTGACAAACAAACAGGCCCAGAGGAACGAAGCTGGAAATGGGAGGCAGGAAGCAAACGTACTTGTAAACGGTAGAGACCACAATGTAGGATGATCTCATGTTACATCTACTCCCTCAGTTCCATAATATAAGAAACGTTTTTGACATTAGCGTAATGTAAAAAACGTTTTTATATTATGAACGGAGGGAGTATATAAGATATAGGCACACCCAAGAAAAGAAAGAAAATGAGGAAGATGAAAAATAACATGATATCTAACTGCCTGACCCGTTTGATGGGAAGGTTGAGAAATAGATAGATCCCCAATCTTGTGAATAAGTTTGTCAGTGCCGCACCCGCAGTACATTGTAGATGTTGTTTGCTGCGGTCATGGTGAGGAAGAAGACGCTGCCGGCAAGGGAGAGGGGCGCCCATGGGCTCCTGAAGTAGGTCCGAGCGATGTGCGCCCGCCAAATGCGCCACTTCTCCTGGCAGTATTTCTCAAGCTGCTGGTGCAGGATGACCAGCCTGCCGCCTTCCTCGGGCGGGTACACATGCAGGTCAGCCGACATCCTGGCGAACAGCTCCGCCACCTTGTGGCCGTCGTCCAGCGCGTTCCTGATGATCCCCTTGGAGCTCAGAAAAGCGACGTCCTCGGCGGTCTTGACGACCTTGGACATGAAGAAGAGGTAGGCGGTGAGGCGGAAGGGCGAGCTGAGCCCGACGTGCAGTCGCTTGAACGCGACCAGGTTCACGAAGATGGGCTCCGTCAGCTCGTTGACGGTGAGCGTCGGCAGGCTGAGCACGTGGCCAGCGAGGCGGATGTCGCTGATCTTCTTGGAGGACAGCTTCCTCAGGTGGATGCCGGCGTCCCGCAGGTCCATTGCCGAGATGTCGCTCCTCTGCTCTGCCTCCGCGGGCACCTGGTCCAGCTGGTGCTGATGAGAAGGCACGTCGCCTGGGTTTGTCGCCGGGACTAGTGTGCTCCTCTGCTCGGCGACGCGGCTCCACCGGAAAAGCTGGAGAGGGTGGAGCCCCTCGGGGACGACATCGTCCATCAGCTGGGTGCTCGGCGACAAGAACTTGAGCACTTGCCTCTTGATCCCACTCTTGATTAGATTTATTTATTCGTGCAGCAAAAACTTGGCTGTCAGATCATCAATAGATGCATGCATGCATGCATGATATATAAGTACGTACGTACGCAGACCGGTAGACGTAGTCCACATGCATACCGGATCTGGTCGCCCGCTCTCGACGGTGATAAGCTTGAGCAGCACAAGCAGCGGCAGCTGGTTCTCGATGAGGAGCATGTCGCGGCGGACGTAGGGTATGGTGTTGACGGCGCCGTGCCAGCCGAAGACGGGGTCGTCCACGTGGTAGTCGTTCTCCGCCGTCGCGGTGGCCGCCCTCACCACCTCCAGCATGAAGCAGCCGTCCAGGACCATGAGCCGCACCAAGCGCCGCCTGTCGCGCCACTCGGCTGGGAGGCCCTGGTACATGCCCTCCAGCTGCTCCGCCGCGCCCTCCATGGCCGCCACGAACTCGCTGAGGGGCTTGCAGGCGCGCCGGAGGAAGTGCAGGAGGGCCCTGTGCTTGTGCTCCTCCATGGGCCGGAGGGAGGCGAGGCCATGGTGGAAGGGGCCGAAGGACACCAGCTGCGGCGTGTAGGCGGTGATGTTTAGCTTCCTGTTGCGCTCCGGGACAAGGTAGATGCACGACGTCGTCCTCCACTGCTGCCGCTGCTGCATCGTCATCGTGGGCGTGCCGCCTCCTCCTCTCAGCGCCTTCTCCACGTCCAGCACCCACGTCCACGTGCGTTCCTTGTCATCGCCATTCACGGCCACGTCTGCAGCATCCTCTCCATCGTCAGCCATTTACATATATAAAAACACAAGAGCTACATGTCACTCGCCTGATTTTCAAATTTTGGGTCAATCGATTTTGGTTGAAGGAAGAAGCAGGCGCACGGGAGGAAGAAACTCGCCCGAGGGGAGGAAGAAGCTTGCTAGGCAGGCTACCCCAGTATCTATATTAGGGTTTAGGGT